GACATCAATCTCTTCTCCCTTGTCCAGGTGATAGGTCACCTGGTTATAAAAGGAAATGAGATTGGTCAAGCAAGACCTACCCACAACAAACCCATGCTGGCTGTCCCTCAGGATGTTGGTGTTGGCCAGTCCATTAAGGATGGCCTCTTTAATAAACTTTTCTAAAGACCTTCCCCAAGATAGAGGTCAGGCTAATGGGCCTACAGTTTGCCAGATCCACTTTCCTCCCTTTCTTGAAGACAGGCACCACATTGGCCTTCTTCCAGTCTTCAAGTACTACACCAGAGTGCCAGGAGTTCTCAAAGATCTGTGCCAGAGGTTGGGCTATGATGCTCGCCAGCTCCTTGAGTACCCTGGGGTGTAGATTGTCAGGGCCAGCTGACTTGAAGGTATCCAGCCCCTCAAGGTATTCCTTCATGGTGTGCAGCACTGATGGAGGGCAGGGAATCTTCCTCACCCGGACCTCCCTGTCCTGTAGCAGGCATGGGCATTCCATGGGACTGATGAAAGACTGACACAAAGTACCCATTTAATAGGTTGGCTTCTTCCTGGGAATCATTGTCCCATCTGGTTTAAAAGGGGTCCAATGCTGCCCTTGTTTTTCCTCCAGCTCCCCACATATCTGAAAAAGGACTTCTTATTGTCCTTGATACTTGAAGCTAGTTGGAGTTCAGCTGCAGCCTTGGCTTTCCTGGTTTGCTCCCTGCAGGACCAGACCAGTGCAGAATATTCCTCCTTGGAGGTGAATCCCATCCTCCATCCTTTGTAGGCCTTTCTTTTTAGCCTCACGAAGCCTGCTAGATCCCTGGAGAGTCAGGGGGACTGCCGTGCCCTCTTGCTGCCTTTCCTCTGAGATGGAACAGAATTAGCTTGTGCAGTAAGGATCGCTCCCTTGAGGTGCGACCACTCTTCTTGAACTCCCCTCCCCCTGGGGTCGTTGTCCCTTAGGGCCTCACTGACAAGCCTACTGAGCTTGTCAAAGTCAGCTTTCCTGAAGTCAAGGACTTCCATGCTGCTGACTGACTTGCCAGCTTTACGGCGGATGGTGAAGGTAATCAGCTCATGGTCGCTGTCACCCAGCTTCCCTTTGATCACTAGGTCGCCGATTAGGTCATCCCCAGTAGTCAGTACCAGGTCGACCAGCACTTTACCTCCAGGTCTTGGTAAAAAGTGCTTGTCCCAGTAGTGGCTACAACACACCCTAGTGGCCACTCAGTCCCTTGCTCTGCCCTCTCTGGCTTGCTCCTCTTCTTGCCCGCTGTCCCTTATATTCCTTGATCTTTTGAAGGAAAGGCTGCTTCAGGGATCCTCAAGCCCATGATGGTTTTCAGGTGCAGCTACTTCACCTTAAAGGCACATAATGTGGCTCCAGCTGCCCCTTGCACTATACCCATGCCTCACAGATGTTACCAGTTATGTCCATTATCAGCCCCCTTGCACCATAGCCTCAGTCACTGTGACTGGACCTCCCTGCCCAGGCACTTCATCTAATTTGGTTACTCCATGGTAGCTTCCAGGCTTGCCTTCTCCACTCTGGCCAGTGGTGATGTGCCCAGAAGCAGCTACAGCGATTGGCCGCAGGACGACTCCCCTGCCCCACTCGGCAGGACTGGTCCCACATGGGGGAGAACGTGCTCCCCCCTAAGGCGGCACCAGTCACCCATGATTCTGGCACTTCACATCTTAAGACTATCCCAAGCACAACATCTTAACCTACACTCTCCAACCAGGCACTTCACCTCTGGGCTACTCCCAGGCACCACATCCTACCCCCTCAAGCTCTTATCTCTGGCTACTGAGCTTCATGCCCCTGGCCCTAACCTCTGGGCTCCCTTGCCCCATTTCTGCCCCTCTCTGGTCTATGGGTCCTCTGACTCCCTTGGTTTCTAGCAGCAGTCTTTGACCTGTGGTCTCCCTAGACCCTGGCTCCACCCTCAGACCAGTTGAGAGTACAGGCACCCTGGCCCTCCTTGCTTCCTGGCTCTCTGATTCTCTGTTCTCTCCTGCCTCTCCCCAGGCTGCAGGCTCTCTAGTCTGAGCTCCCAGGCCTCTGTGTTGCCAGGCCCCTCTGTCCTTCCTCTACCGTGTTCCCAGTCCTAAGAGGAGATCTTCCCCTCAATCCCTTTCTCAAACCTTCACAGTTGCTTACCTCAGCTCAGATGCTAACCAAGAGCCTGGCTACAACCCCACTGCCCCCAAAACTCCTCACTCTTGGGACTCAACTCCTTGCCCAGCTCAGGCCCTGGGCTTATACGCTTTAAACCTGGATCCCTTCTCATCAGGTGACTCTTTAATTGGCCCCTGCTACACCTGCAGGCTGCTTCTCAGCAGCCTTTTCCCCTGTTACAGGCTCCCTGTCAGTTTTATAGATGGCCAGCACCAGGAAGAGGTTGTCCAGGAGGTCCTAGCATTTGGCGGGGCCAGGGAGGGGAGTGCATAAGAAAAAAGGTCCCAGAAGAAGTGCAGCCAGAACCTAGGCAGCAGGTCCTGGAGGAAGCGGAAGGGGGCCTGCAACCCGGAAGCGCTCAAGATAGGCCTGCACCAGGGTCTTGCTGTTGACAGAAGGACATAGGCAATGCATAGGGGAGCCACAACGGGGTACATGCCCCCCCTGAGATTGGCTGCCACAGAAGCTGTCACTGGCTTCTGCGGGTGGTCTTCCCTCACCGCTGCCAAAAGCATGGATCGTGGCTGTGGGCAGTCCCTGCTTGCTGCTGCTGCTGCCGCCGCCACTGCTGGCAACAACTGCGGGCAGTCCCTGCTTGCCACCATGGTGCCCTTCAGTTGCAGCAGGCACCAGTTGTTCACGCAAAAGGGGCACGTGTTAGGGGTGTCCCTAGAGAAGGGGTCACAAACCAGTAGATCTCAATCCACTGGTAGATCTTGGAGCCTCTTGCTGTAGATCTCAGAGCCTCTTGGAGTCAACCTGAGGCTGGGGTCAGGGGCTGAATGCCCGTGTGCACGCACATGCATGCCCCAGCCCAGCAGGTCGGGAAGGGAAGGGGAGAGGAGGGGAGGGGAGGGGGCTAGATCAAGGCCCCTCCAGTGAGGAACAGTGCCACCAAGGCAGGAGCACGGGTAAGTTGAGGGGGGCCCCAGCTGGGTGGCACTTACCTGCTGGGGAGGTGTGCCCCCAAATAATTTTTGTCCCTCTGCCTTGATCAGCATCCCCACCCTTCCCTCCCCACAGACTTACCTGTTGGATGGGGGATGGTGGTGGTGCATGGTAGATCTTGGGTTGCTTTTAAATGCCAAAGGTGATCTGCTTAAAAAGGTTGGAGACCACTGGCCAGGAGCATGTATGGTGCATGTTGCTGGTGATGGCTCCATGAAGGAGCAGCCTGCTGAAGTCCCTAGTGGCTCATAGGGTCAGGGTCAATAGCAAGAGGATGCAGAGCACTGGGGGCACATCTACATGTGTGCTTTAATGCACACTGAAGTATCAAAAAGCTGTACTCTTTACCCAAGGTGCATTACAGTAGGTGAACGTGCCTTTTTCTAATACAGTACCTCACAATGGAAGTACTAAATTTAATGCACGTTACCTAAAGCACATTAATGAATACGTACCCTGGGAGAATGCACCTGGGACTACTAACCCCCTGCAGAGCTGGGTGCATGGGCCGGGCCTATTTGTGGAGGGCTAGACCCGCCCCTGCCTCACCCAGACAGCTTTTGGACTCCGGTACTTGCTTCAGCCAGACAGGCCGGCTCTGCCTATCGTTATCTCCAAGACGCAACTCGTCCCTGCTTTCTACTTGACCTGAGGCTAACTCCGATTACGTCACAGCAGGGGGGGGCAACAGGGAATGGCTACAGTCAGGAATGTGGGGAGGGGTGACGTAACAAATCCCGCCCCCGCGCCCAGCAGCAGCCCTGGCCCAGTTGCTGAGGCTCTTCCGCCGCCTGCACTGGCAGCGCAGCCCCGGCCACGGTCTGCAGGGGGCGCGCGGCCACAGGGTGAGGCGGGCTCGCGCCAGGGGGGCGGGGCCTTGCGCCGTCACCAAGGAGACGCGTCGTTGCCCGTAAGGAGGCAAGGGAGCGGGCCACGTGACCCGTACCAAACCCCGGCGGTTGACTTGAACCCTCTCGCCGATCACTTCCGGGGCAGCCCCGAGTGCGGCTTCCGGTCGGGGCGCTGGAGGCGGAGGGTGGTGGCGGTAGCGCTAGCGACGCTCATTTATTGGGACGATGTGAGCAGCGCCCCCTCCCCGACCTCTCCCTTCGGCACCCACGGCTCCCTCCGGCGGGGCGGAGCCTCCGGTGCCCCCGCTCTCTCCAGGTCCCTCACGTGGAGCCCAGGTCGTCACGTGACGGGCGGCCGCGCCCCGCCCCTTCTCTCGCAGGGCTGTGCGAATGTCACCTCCTGCCCCGCCCTGCTGCTGCTGCGGCCGCCATGGCAACCGCGGGGCTCCTCCCGATGGGGGGTGGGAGTTGGGGGGATGGGGGGTATGTGCGGTGGTATGAGGTGCTAATGGGCCGTGCTCTGTGTGTGCAGATGATGCTGGCCAGCCTGTGGGCCTGCGTGTACAGCCGCTTCCTGCGTGGCTGGCTGAAGTGGGTGCTGCGGCTACTCACAGGGAGATGTGAACTGCAGCGCGTCTGTGGCGGCGCCAGGGCCGGGGCACGGAGGACACGCGGGATTGGTAATGCCGGGTGGGGACAGGTGGCGGGAGATGTGAGCAAGCACCAAGCTGTTGGGTGGGGGTAGGGGGTATTCAAATCAATTTTGATTTATTTTCTAAACTCACCCCAGTTTTCTGTTAACAGGGAGGGACAATGTCATCATCGTAAGGCAAAGGGAGGGTTTGCAGCCCCAAAAGCCCCTCACAGGCCCCTGCCACACGCTACATATACAGTGCTGTTTGGCTGGCAAAGTGTGCAATAAGGGTTGACCAGCCCCCAGGTGCAAAGTAACTTTTGCCCAAGGAAAAAAGGACTCTGCTGTTATAAAAAGAGCCAGATGGCTACAGCGTGAGGGCTTAGAAATGCCTGACAACTCCAGAGCGGGTTTCTGTTCCTCTTCCACTGGAGCTGGAGCTGGGCCCTTCACCGTGCCAACAGGGTTAGGCAAAGAGTTTGAAAAATCCACAAGATTTTGAATTCGCTGGGATAGAAACCAGCTCTAAGAGTTGTTACATGTTTTTAAGCTCTAACTTTACAGTTGGTTTGTGTCCTGCTTTCATTTGAGGGCTCCAAGGTCTGTCCTGACTATGTCAGCACAGCGAAGGGCCGAGGTACACACTCAAATGAAAATGGGACAGAAACCATCTCTGGAGTTGTTATGCATTTCCAAGCCCTCGCTTTCTGGCTGGCTTTTTTTGTAGCAGGAGAGTTACTTTTATTGTGTGATAATCACTTTGCACATGTGGCCAGTCTACACTTATGTGATACACTGGTAACTTGTGTGGTAACTACTTTGTGCTTGTGGCTGGTCAAAACTTATTGTGTGATTTACCAGTGAATTGTATACTATATGTAACATGTAGCAGGGGCCTAAGAAATGGGAGTTGGATGTAGTAGTTACAAATGCCTTATCTGTGACTTAAAAATGGCAAATTTTTTCACTTCTTATTTCAATGTATGGTCATGTTAACTGATTCGTAACTATTTTTTCTTGCATTGCAGAGCACTCCTTGGAATTATCAAAGAACAAGGTAGGATGTGACAGTGATAACACGCCCCAGCACTAAATTTGTTGTTCAAGATGCAGGTGCCCTTAAGAAATATTTTCTCTTACATGTTTGTTTATATATTGATTTTCAAAGTAAAGGGGAAAACAAAGAAGACAAGAGGTAGAAAGATAAAGAAAAATGTTTGGGGAAGTGGGAGAGAAGAGTAAGTGGCGTTTTGGTTTCCATCTGCTAGAGATTATAGGAGCATAGCAATAGGTGGGTGAGCAGGGCACAAGACCCAGGTATTGGAATGCAGCAGGGGGGATCCTCAGCCTCCTGTGTCTTCCCTCCTTACAGCCTGCATTCTCCAAGCAGTGGCTCAAGCTGCAGCAGCGAGGCGGGCAGAGTAGCAGTTGTAGCTGGGAGAAACAAGGTGCTGAGGAGTGGCTCAGGAAGGAATGTCGGAGACAGTTTACTGTCTTACCTCTTTCCCCTCCTCTGCAAAAAACTAATGTTTAAACAGTTGCTTGATATATGTGGTGCCAAAAAAAAAGGAGGTAGCTGCTTCTGCAGCAGCAGCAAACCTTCAGCTGCTACTCCTGCACTGTGCACCAACATCTCCCTCTGACTCTAGGCTTCAAAGGCTTCTAAAAAGTTAGATTAAATCTTTTCAAAATTTCTGCCCTCCATCTTGGAAACATTACCCACTCTAGCAGCCAGGTCAGAGAAGTCAGTGTGCCAAGATTCTGTTCCTGGATGCAATCTCTTTTTCCATCAAAGCAATACAAGCTATTTGGCTTCAAGCACTGCTTTAGAGAACCAGGGTTTCTGTGGCCTGGAAATCTTCCAAAATACTGGGATATTGTTCTGGGAAGTGATTCTTAAGGGTGTAGTCATTATCATTATAATCCTCTTCTCTGCTTCTAGCTGAAAGAATTTATCCTGGGACATGTGAGCTAGTGTGGTTCCAGATGAGCATCTCTAAAAGCAGTCTCTCTTGCAAGGACTAGTAAGATTAGCAATAGTTTTCTGATGAATCTACCTTAAATAGTTTTTAGAATTAGATAGTGTTTAATGTCTCTTACGGACTGTAGCTTCTTGCATACAGTACGTTGTGGAATAAAATGCACAGCTTATTTTTGAGGGGCAGAATAAAGAAAAAATGGTCTTTCCTTCTAGTGAGCAACTAAGCAGCAGTCACTAGAGAGTCCTGCCTGCTCATTAGTCTGTCTGGGGATTGCTGTGCAGTCAGTGGTGGAAATGTCCCTCTCTCAGTTGCCAGCAGCTGCTTTTTGGGAAAGAGGTGAATGGGGTATGTGAGGAAATACAGTATGTGTGTTCTTGCCAGAATGTTTGTATGTGTTCTTGCCAGGAGTCTGTAATAACATTGCATTGTTTTTCTATTAAGGTTATATATAGAATAAAATATAGTGTATTCAGTACTACCTACATTTCCTCTTTAACTGAGTATCTAGGTAGAACTGCACTGATTTTCCTTCATGCCAAGGCAACAGTGATTACCTCACCAAAAAATTAAAGCTGTTGGATAGGATGGACTAAGACATGTGACTGGCATTTGGTAGGATGAACTAAGATATGTGACTGGCAGACAGAAGTCTTCTGCTAGTTTTGCAGACAATCTGATCCATAAATCATACAGACATGACTTTTAAGCCATTAGGTATTACAATATGATTAAAGCAAGTGTAATTTTAATACATACTTAGCTGTTCAATGGCATAAGGCAAACATTCTATTTTTTCTGGCCTTCTACTTGTTAAAGGAAAACAATCCCAGTTTTAGACTATCTAACACCTAGCTGGGGTTCACCTGCTTTTTCCTACCTAGAGCAGGGGGTTGGACTTGATGATCTGCCGACCCTAGAAATCTATGAAATCTATGAAACATGTATACTTTAAGCACAATTTCATATTTTTTTTTTTTTTTAGGTATGAAGATAGCTGACTGCTCTTCCTTTTTTGGCCGATCACAGCAATACAGTGTTGAAAGAGAATGTGATTGGTATAAACAGATTGTTTTGTGTTATGGTGGAGCATATTATGGGTGTAGCTAACAAGAGGCCTTACAATTTGTTTAAAATATTTAAATAATTATCTTAATTCTGGTGTCTCTTCAAAATAACCAGTAAAATACAAGAATCATATCTTGAACAACTGATTATGTCTACTTTGGGAATACAGTGTGGTAACTGGTATGAAGGCATAGTGGGACAGGAAGTGAAAATAATATACTACAGGGTGACTTCAGATGGGCTGAACGTAAATACCCAATATCGGAATTTGCCAGTCAAGATACATTAATCTAGATTTTGGGCAGTGTGGTATTAAGAATATATGGTCAAGCCCCATCATCCAAGCATTGGACCTCGCTTTCTTTCTTTTGTTGGTAAGGTATTCGTTCAGTATTGAATTAGAAGATAAATATTGCTGTTATTGATTTGCTTTACATTTCCATTGATCTCAGTGGGAACAATTAGGCAGAATGAGGTTTTACTTGGCCGTGTGAATTGCCAACAGAAAATTTGTCAACAGCTGCTGTTCTCTTTAGGGGATTCTCATCCAAAATATCAGGCCCTCTATTAGTTAATGTGAGATCTGAAAAAATTAGAAGCTGTGTATTTTTCTAACAACTTTGTTTGTTCACTTGGCTGAAAAATGGAAGAATGAAGCTATCCTTTTTTTTAATACAAGCAAAATAAGCTTATTTAAGGTAAATGCATTTTGGACTAAAGTCTTGGCAAGTCTTTTCATTTTTTAATGGATGCAAAATCAGTGTAAATATAGACTAGTAATTATAACAGCATAGATGCTTACATTTCTGTATACAAATTCTTTGACATTTTAACTCTATAGGTGTTAAGAAATGCAGTATATGTGGGTGAAGATGAAGTGGAAAAGTGTGTCACTGATATAATGAAAGAAAAGAAGATTATTGAACAGAAGAATAAAGAGTATGTTATATCCGTTTAACCAAATGCACCTTTTTTAGCCCATTATATGTCTATGGAATGAGAGAAATAAAATCAGTTGCCTAACGTGATATCATTCTGGGAGAATACAAGTGGGCTGCAAACTGTGTAAGATATATATGTGGAAAGTACACAGTAGTGTGGTATGATAGAAAAATTATCAGAATGAGTTTATAAAGACGTTGTTGTGTCAGGGGTCATGCATCTTTTATTGTTAGCTATTTGGAATTTAGTGGGGCAAAAATATAATTAATTTAAAATGGCACAAAAAAGAAAGTGAAGAAGCTTTAAAACTGGATTTTTTAAAATTGTTTGGGACCTTTGAGATTTTGAAGTAAATGTTGGGTTCATTGCTGGCAAACATGGTCTTGTCCCTTTCTCCAGTAATAAAAATGTCCTCATGTCCAACTGTACAGGTTGAGATACTACCTAAAACCTACAGTGCAGGTTAGCACAAATCATCTGTCTGATAGATGACTTTATTTTTTAATTTCAGATAGGTGAAATTTACAGAAAATGGGGTTGTCCCAGTAAATTCTGTGAGTGCTTTGGGGGTAGGGGTCGTGGTGGTGGTGGTGGGCGCGGGGCACTGTGGCCAGATACAGAAAAATAAGTGCAGTTCAGCTCATAGCTATGGGTTTTATTTCCATGTGCCTGTACAAATACGGCCTGATCCTTCAACACTGAAGTCAAGGGGAGCTTTTCCATTAACTTCAATGGAAACAGGATCAGGCCAAAAGCATTCATTCCAAAGCAGTCTGCTGTAGTTCAAAGAGCGTATGGTATGCTAGGAAATGAGACTTACTGTGTATCTTGCTTTCCAGATATTCATTATACACTAGCTAGCATAATACAGCCCAAATAACTTTTTCTCGTGACTTGAGCGTTGATGTAATTTTGTGGTCAACTATTATCTATCTCCCTTAAGATCGTGTGGCTTTCTTTTTTGTTTCAGTTTTAAGACAGACTTGCAGGTATGTTTGCTGCAGATATCTGGTTATAAGCAACTTTATTTGGATGTAGAAAATCTAAGGAAAGTTCCATATGATTCAGATAATGAAGAACATGAAGAGGAACTAATCAAGGTAAAAATGTCATTTGGCATTCTAAGTGCTAAACTGTCACAAGGATAATTGAATGATGTCAGTTGTCCATATGGTTGTTTTTCATTAAATTTGTTACTAGCAGGCTGCTTGACTGCTTGTATAAACTTTGAGGGGAAAAAACTGATTTCTAAAATTAGAATAAAAACTGACATTCTCTAACAAGTCTCCAATAACATGTTATCCTTTTAAAAAACTAGTCACTTTAAAATATGTTTGCTTTAAACACACTTACACTAATAAACTTTCAAGTTGTTACAGAAGTGACTCACTAAAGTTAAACAAGATATAAAGCAAAATGCAAAGTACGTAGATACCACATTTAATCAAATAGGAGACTATGTAATCTAATTATTAGATGCTGTGTATGGAAAATTTATAAATTTGTTATAATTTTCCATGTATACAATCTAACTACTAGAGGTGTGCCTTGAATTTGTCCCCCTCCCACTGCTGCAGCAGGGAAAATAAATATGGGGTATGAGGTAGCCCTTTGCTCTCTGCTTCCCTCCTCAACTTTTTCCCCTGGCAGCCCTTCCTCCTTCCCTCGGGAAGAGCTGGGTCAGACAGTAAGTGAGGTGCAGATTTTGAAAACGATAACCTTGACATTAAACAATATGCATATAGTACCCATAAACTTAGTTCATCTCAAATTGATACAAGTTACCTTTTTTTGAAATCACTAAGTTTTAGCACGTGTGTTTTCATCAACACAGTTTTGAGCAGCACTTTGGCGCCTCATTATATCTAGTATAAGTTATGCATGGTATAAGTCCATGGCCAAAAGACTCATGGTGTGCCAGATGGTTCACTGGGCTGCATCCTGCCAGAGTTAGCAGCATTCAAGCTATGGTTAGCCACAACATTGCATACAGTTCACCCAGAAACCCTCTATCGTGCCCCCTCTCAGCCTGGCATGCATTATGAGTGTGGCTCTGCCCTCCATCATGATCTCACAGCTCAGGACTGCTCAGTATGTGTGTATATTCTAGATATCCCTAGTAAAGGTCCATGTGCTAATTAGCCCATCACTTCTCATGACTGGAACGGGTGTTCTTGTCAGATAAGTCCTGGGATCCTAGTTAATGTGTGTTGTGAATTTATATTTGTTTCACAGTTTACAAATAATATTTGAACATACAATCCACAAATTAGGCTTTTTTCCCCCCAAAGTGAAACAAGCCTTTGATTAGTCCCTTCTCCCCCCAGTATTCAGTTTTTAAAATGTCCAAATGAACTGTGTTTTCATGCTTTTATGATAAAACTATTTTAACAGCATGGCCATACTTGGAAAAATACAACAACTCAGGAACTTTGTGTCTTTGTATTTGTTTGAATGTGCGGTAATCAGAATTATGAATTATGTGACTTTAAAAAAAATGGTCACCATATGTAACATGGAAGCATGTTTGTGCAGCTCTGGAATTTGCTGATGCCTCATGAAAATCTGAAGGCTAGAATCACCAAGCAGTGGTGTAACATTGGTTTTCAAGGTGATGATCCCAAAACAGACTTTAGAGGAATGGGCATGCTGGGATTAGTCAACCTTGTGTAAGTAAAAGTAAATATTTTGCTTCTGTAGTCCTAAACTTTCATGAATTTTCATTTCTATTTCTGATAATACTGAATAACGGGAAATAAATGTTGACTGCTCTGCTCTATTGCTGATTTATAATGAAAAGCTTTCCTTCCTATATAAGGGAAACTAGTGATGGAACACACTTTCTAGCTTAGAATTAGTATAAATACTTTATTTGATTTAGAAGGCCAGGGTTTGCAAACTGTTGCCACTGCATGCTGGAGCTTGCAACCCAGGTGTAGCTGTGGGCTGTAAAGGCCACCTACCCACTGCCCTAAGCATTCAATTGCCAGTGACCTGACCACTCTGCAGCAAGGATAAAATCAGATCGGAGGTATGAGCCGCATGGCACAGCTCCATCACACTGATCCCCCTGAGCCAGATTGGACCTCTGCAGGTTTGATCTGGCCCACAAGCCACAGTCTATAACAGTGGTTGGGAACCTAATACATTCAGAGAGAGAAGCTCTTGTAAGCTATGGCCTACTTTGTCAGACACTGTGAATGGATCTTTATAGGGCATCGGTTTACATGCGGGAGGGGAGGGGGGCATTTTAATTGGAGCGGCACTCTTGTTCAACAAGTTTTAGTTAAAGTGCCCCGTTGCCATTTTGAAATGTGGGGATGCTGAATAAATGAGACTGTAGCATGCTGGCGCGTTCCGATTAGAATGCTCCAGTGGACTCAGTTCAGTTTGCTCTGATATGTTCTGATCAGAATGTGTTTGAAGCATGTGTAAAAATGCCATAGAGCAGGCCTACAGTATAAGCCTCAGTCTCTACAAGTACCTGCCTGCCCTGCTTCTCTAAACAAGCAAGTGAAGGTAGGCAGAGCAAGGCACTTGATAGATTAATACGGGGGTTTTCAGCCATTTTGGATCATTGTACCCCCACCCCCACCCCTGGAGGCCAGATGCAGAGCAGGGGATGCGGGGTGGCACACAGCCAGACATGGAGCGGCAGCAGCTACCACAGGCGAGCTTCCCCTACGTCTAGCTGGGTGGGCGGCACTTGCGCAGCAGCATGGGATGGTACATGGAAGTGATCTGTCCCTGCCTGCCTGTGCGTGCCCCCTAGGGCCTTCTCAGGTACCCCCGGGGTATGTGTACCCCTGGTTGACAACCCCTGGACTAACACAGCAACTATTTAAATAGATAATCACTCCCATTACAGAATTTTAAGAATTGAAGGGAGGAACGGAAAGGAGCCAAGAACAGAATCTTAAAGAAAGCTATGGATGATAGATTTTTTGTGTTTATAGCAGAGAAAGTAATTTGTCAAAAGCTCTTAAATAATGGTACAGCTCAGTTAAGCGCCTACAGCATAGGAAAATTGATTAATACAACCTAATTAAATGGAGGAATCCTTAATTTTGAGAGGCTCTTATTCTTACTGATCTGTTTCATTATGCTGTCCCTTGCTAGATACCATTTCCTCTGTTTTTCTTCACTGGTTTTGTTTTGCATTATTTATCCAATACACAACAACTATGGTGTTATAGAATGGAGTTAGAAACACTTTCTGGTACTGAGCGTGTTAGTATTTCGTATATGAACAACCTGTTTAAATTAATTCTTACATCCAGTTATTTGTTTACAGGTATTTTAGTAAACATCATGCCAGTGAAGCTCGTCAGATCCTTTCCCATTCAAATCATCCCAAATTGGGGTAAGCCATTTGTACAAGATTAAAAATACACTGCTTCCTGACTGATTTTTAAAGGGAAAACAGAGACTTGTGTGAGATCTTAATTGACATCTGTACTGAAGTATCTTTTGAAATGAAAAAAATATTTTTTTTAAAGTAAAATCTGGTAAACAAGATTAAAGGATTGAAAGTGATTCTGATTTGGAAACCACTTGTGGCTAGTCATATTTTTGTCCCGATATGGCTCTTTGCAAACTAGGCTTTAGTTAAAATTTCATTCAAGCAAAACATTTTTATGTCCGTAACAGCACTGTAATTGTTTTAGATTACACTCAGAAGAAAACTATGCTTATTGCTCTCAACTTAATCCATTTCATAACGAAGTTATTTACATTTTCTTATAAATAAACGTATTACTGCCTACTGTAGTAACTGCAAATCAGGTGTTCATCAATTGTTCTGGCCGCTGTACAAATATTTAAGGACAAGTCAAAGACAGTATTCATACATACCTCTTACATCTATCCAAAGCTCAGTACATTTGTTTATCAGCCACACAGTAAGAATAGGAAGGCTTTATCTCTTAGCTTGCTGGGAGTGTTGGCCTCTGCATCTAGGCTGTGGGCTGTCATCCTAAGAAATTGCAAAAGTCATGTTTATTAATCAAATGCACAAATTTCTATTACCACTCTAAATACTGTTTTGTAAAGCACTGGTTTTTGTTAACGGTGAAATTTATTCATGTTCTGATCATGGACTTTCTAAAGGAAAAATATCCCGTTAATAACAGGCACAGGCCTGGACTTGTTATGCAAATCTAGTTTTCACTATTTAGAATTCACATTTTGTACCTGATGACTCTGAGTCCAGTAAACAGGTCAGCTTGTATATGTTGATTAACCTGTTGTCTCTACGTGTGCAAATGCCTGTATGAAAACACCCCACTACTGTTGATGAAAATTTCCTGTTCCATCTATCTATGTTTTAAAATAAGTTTTCCTTGGCCTTAAAAGACAGAACATTTGAGACAAATGCACCATACACATGACAACTTACAGAATAAAAAATATAGAATAGAACATAACAGATGATAATTTGTATTAAAGAAAACCAGATCTGGAAAAAAAAATTCAGATTGTTTCATGAAAGAGAGAATGGATTTTCTTTAGTGCTTAACAGAAAATGGATGTGTGTTGCAGGTATTCCTATGCAATAGTTGGAATCAATCTGACAGAAATGGCTTATAGCTTACTGAAGAGTGGTGCTTTAAAGTCTCATTTCTACAATGCAGTCCCTGGATTGCCAAATATAGAACACTTCCACCAGTTTTATTGTGAGTATCTAACTGTTCCATACCACACATTTTTAGGGATAGGATTTATGTTCATGCATAATTTACAAGATGATATCTCGCCCTTGTAACTCCTACAAATCAAAAAATGGAACTAGATATTTGTTTTTGTGCCTGCTGTGCACAATCCTAGCATGGGGTGCTGGCTGGACCCAGTGCTGCATAGAAAACAGGGGGTCTGGAGTGCCGCGTGCTGCAGGTAGCACACATCCCATGCTGGCCTTGCATGTTGTGTGCACAGTGAGATCTAGGCCTGGCATGTGCAGCATGCAGCTACATGCAGCACTCTGCCAGACTGGCCCCACATGTTGGCTCTGGCACAGTCCAGCTTGATGCAGACTGGAACCAGCATGCAGGGCTGGTCAGGCAGAGTGTGCCCTAGACTGATGCTCTGTGCTGCATGTATGGTGCCAGTACCAGCACATGGGGTCAGTCCAGTGATCTACAGGCTGGATCATGTGGTTACATGGGCCAGATCCAGCCCACAGGCCATATGTTTGATACCCCTGTTCTAGGATGTGCTTTTTAAATTAAAACTGTTAAAAAGTTACTGTTGAATAAAATAATTAATTTCCAACTTCCTACCATGCATATTGTTCTGCAGCATCTTTTTAATCATCCTGTGCATCAGCTCTATTATCTTAATGTAGAAAAAAATGGAATTCTGTTATTGTAGAACTGTTTTGTTTCCTTTACAGGTTACTTGGTTTATGAGTTTGACAAATTTTGGTTTGAAGAAGAGCCAGAAAGTATTATGCACTTCAACCATTATAGAGAGAAATTCCATGAAAGGGTTAAAGCACTTCTTCTGGACTATGATATAGTATTAACTTTACAAAATAGAAGGGAACAATAGTTTTACCTGCAGTCCACCAGGTTCTGCACAGAAAATGGAATTATGCATTTGGATGGAATTCTCATGTGTTGCACCAAAAACTTAGTTAAATGATGGAACTTTTTATACATATATTTTCAACAAATATCAAAACTGCAATTAAGAAAGCTTGGACAATCAGCTTTTGTTTACAGCTTTTTATATGCTATTCTCCAAAGAAAAGCTGCTTTTCTGTTCTTTAAAAAAAACACAAAACCCTAAAGGATCCCCTGGATCATGTGCCCTCACAATTTTCTTATACCTCTTGGTGCAGAAACAAGATTTATGCTGCATCATGTTGTCTAGTAATGGGTCCTGTGTCTACCTTTTGGTGTTTCATTAATCTCTGAAGTGATTTCATGTTGCTTTTCAGAGTTGAAATTACATTGATTATAGATTTTGTGTGTTCTTATCACCTTGTTTTTTCTACCTGTAGCTCATGGTCCATAAGAATATTAAAATTCTGCAGTAAAGAGGTCCATGAAGAGATTTTGTTCTTATTTACACGTAAGAACAAAACACTTCCAAGATTATTTTCAATTGAAATGATATTCCATCCAGAGACTCTACCTACAAATCTCTACATGGAAAGAAATCCATTTTGAGAGAGAATCAAGTAGTGAAAGGCCAGAGCCTTAATCTTAGAGGCCTTCTAATAGTTCTTTGCATAACATTCTGCTGTAGAAGTTTTCAGGTATAAATCCATTTCTTTCTATTTAGTCTAAGAAACCATAGCTCATCCATTTCAATTCATATTTGCTATAAACTTGTTCTTCATGTTATCAACCAACAGAATATTCTCTGAGTGGGAAGTGAGCTCTAGGAGAATTACTTTACCCTTCTAATAGAATTCATTTGTTATTTCGTACAGAACTTTTGCAGCTGGCGTCCATACCTTGTGACAGTAATAAGAACTTAACTTCAGCCATGTTTACTTTAAGACCAAGAAAGTGTTTTTGCATGAAGCGGGTGCAGCTTTGGCTTGTCTCCAGATTTTTTTTGGCATTCCCAGACAATCTGGTCCATAGGATTTCATACCTATAACAGTTTTCATCACCCTTGATTACAATGGGCTTGGTATGAACTTAATTAGTTTTCTAAAGCTTGCTATCTAAATAAAGTGCCTTCTGCTTAATTCAATCACTGTTTAATTTGGTCTTCTCTAAGCTGATCAGAGCCTTAGAAACCCAATTTCTTTTGGGGCTGAGACTATATCTCATTAAAAAGCATGTAGTGGGTGCTGCCATAATGCACACTCATTTATATATAAACACAAAACTTTCATGTTTTATTATCTGGAATAGATGTAATATGCCAGCTTGATCACTGGTTATTTTTTTTCCCTTCAAATATATTCTTCCTAAAATAAATTTCTGAATAAAAGGAGCAGAGAGATGGAGAGCTTTGTGCTAAAAGAAATTTGAATATTATTTGGTTACTAGCAGTAAAAAATAATTCAATTTGGCAAAATGATTTTTAAATGTAAGCTTTGTCCCAGCATGTTGCATGCTTCCAGAAAGGAGTGCATGCAGTGTTATAGTCATCAGAATTATGTATAGGTATAAAATAGTAGAATTAAGTATTCCCTGATTGGGTTTGTAGGCAAAAATAAGTTTTACTGGTATTAAATTTTCTTATAATGGCAAATAACTGTACGATTAGTAATTTTAAAATGTTGTTTTACACACATGCACACACACACGCACGTAAAAACCTGACAACTTAATGCCTTGCTTTTGGAAAAAAAAATCTGATCACCAAATAAGTAGTACATTTGAACCATTGTAATTAAAAATAAGTTTTTTACCCTTTTAAGTCATAAACTTGAAAGCACCTAACTCTGTATAGCGGGGCTTGAAAATTTACCAGATATTGGTTAATAGGACAACTGAATTTACTACATAAAGTACATGCAGAATAGTAAGGATGGAGGGAGAGTTGCTAGTAAGAAGCCTAATTCTGTTCTCTCAGGTGCTTGAAATCCTTTTTAATGGTCCTTATAAGTGTAGAGGCTGAATGCCTCTGATGGTTTTGCGATTCCTACTCTGCATAGGGGGCCACCTATATCTTGTCTCTCTTTTGGCTGTAGGCTGCTTTGTAAATTGGAAGGTCCCCTCACTACACCCAATGAAGTGAGTATGGAGAGGTGGGTCTCTAGTACTCTGATCCTTCCTCAACCTGATTGCTAGGGGATGAAGCATCTTCCATTCTACCTGCCCCTTCACTGGTTCTTCTCCCTAATACTGCATGGCCATTCCCTGCCTGTGCTGTTGCTCATGGTTTTCCTTAGCAGTAGTATGAAACCAAAGGGACTTCTGGATTTCACCAATGAAAAAGAAAGGAAGCTACTGGATAATACATACTGGATGGCAGCAAGACGATTGGCTATACTCTTGTTAATATTGCTCTGTTACTGGTTGACAAAAACAAGTAACAATGATAACAGAGGTGCTGGAGCCATCTCTCTGCAGACTGGAGCAATCCAATTTGGTTTATTTAATCTGGAAGATTGTTTGTGTAATCGTAATGACCACACATTTAATATGGGAAAAATATAATGGAATTTTAAATTCCATACAAATAGGCTTCTCCAGCTGTCAGGAAAAGCATCCTGTTTACAGTTGCTGAAAGACTTTTCAAGGCTCATCAAATGTAACTTCGTTTCATTTTGGAAACCTTAACTTTGAACTAATATACATTTTGGGATAGAATATACACTGTGACCTAAGTCCACAGATTTCCCTTCACTCTTTAAAATCCAGAACATAAACTGGGAATATTAACAATTAATAAACTAATAAAAACTATCATTAAACATAGAAAAATGATGTAGTTGGATATATGGAAGTATGTGTTAAAGTGTAATAATTGAGTATATTCTGTTGATTTAGTATGTAGTTTTGTACTGTTGTAATCACTGTTGGGGGGGTTTTTGTTGTCTTGTTTCTTGAAAAAAAATTTCTCCAGTAGTACTGGATTCCATATATTTCATCACTAACTAGTGTAATTAGTAACACAAAGGCAAAAATGGGGTTTGGGGAGTAAGCATTTGCTAGAGGCAAGAATGTCTCTCCAGATCTAATCAATGGGATTTTATATGAGTTACTGCATTCATATGCTGAAATGACAATCCTAAAATAACGGAAGTTATAAACTGGAATTGAGGAAGTTGCACCCTTTTGTAACTCATTAGAGTCAATGTACCCAGCATTAAAAAAATTGTTAATACTTTTGCTGCAAGTACTCTTAGAAATTAAAGCCTTGGTTAAAGTCATTATTTTTATAACATTATTTATGAAACCTTGGCTTTTAAAATATGTGCTATTTTATATAGTTAATAATTATTAAAAAAAAATCAAATTGTTCAACTTGTTTTTCGTTTTAAAATATTTGCAACATATTTAGAAAGACACTGTTGGGTGACATTTTTGTGAAGTCGTCCAGCGGAAAATGTTTACCAAGTTTTCCCCCTTTGTTCAAAATGTTTGAAACAGGGTACTGCTCCATGAGCCAATTAAACTTACGCTATTTAGAAGTTTGCCATGAACAAAAGTGAAGTGCTTTTTTTGGTATGAGGTGAGAAATTCAAAAGGAAAAAATTTAAATTGATAGGGAAAGGACTAAGATTTAAGTCTGCCTTAGTTGCTAGGTAATATAGGGAACATATCTTTTATTCAGAAAAATGTTTGCATTTTCTACTGTATAATACAGGAGTCTGGATTGTACGATGCATTATTGCTAGGGTACAACAGAGAAAGGGTCTTAGCTTTAGTGTTCCAGAAAGAGGGGCATGTTGAGCCTTTCATCTCACTAGTAGAGTGAGCTTTCGCTAATCTGAATGTTTGTGTTGGTTAATTCAACAAGTCTGTTCCAATATATGGCTTGCAAAGCCTCTCCACTTAAATTTAAAATGTTGTTATATGTAAGTTTGTTTAGTTGGGTTGAGTTCAGCAAGTTGTACTGTTCAGAAATATTGTTAGTTCATGCATGATGAGAAACTGTAGACTTGGTTTGTCTGGTATAATCCTCTCTGTAATGTTATCAGACTGGGATAATATAAATTGATGTTTCTTCTTGTATCAAAGTATGGCATTAGAAGTAGCAACAAGTAGACTGTAATTGTGGGCTGTAACTTTACCACATTGCACTGAGACAACTATAAAATAACAAAAATGTCAGCATTTGACACACAATAAAAGCAATAATGTAAATGGTGATGCCTGTGTGTTGGGGGAATTGTTGCAATGGTAGCAAATAAAGAACAAACTATTCTCAAACTTTTCCTTATATATGTGGTAATGCCAAATTATTCTCAAACTTTTCCTTATATGTGGTAATACCACCCTTTTTCTGTTTAGCTTTGCTTCCTTATTCCTGTTGGGTCTCAGTTCAAAGTTATACCACGTGCTTAAATAATTTCTCTCTCTTTTCCTCAATTTTGTGATGAAGAGAACCAATACTAGGAACTAGTCTGCATTCCTAATCAGTCATGGAACTCTGTCTACTGCCTCTGTGCTATCCCACTCCTCTGTGGGCAGGAGCATACATTAAGTGAGAAGATAACACACACAGTCCACATCTCAGATGCCTTCTCACAGCTGGCTTTAACTGATGCCACTGTAGGTAGTCTTAGCAAAAAAAAATAAAGGAGTAATTGGGTGCATCTACATGTGCAATAAATTCAAAGCAGGTTTACTATGTAGTAAAAATCCTGTGCAGGGAAACCTCTGGGGGAACATGCCTACATATGTTCCCTCTTAGGAGCAGATATGCTTCCAATGGCAGCAGCCTGGAGAGAGCTGCTTGCACCCTGCTCTGCTCCCCTGCAGCAGCCAGGGGGCACTCCAGGCACTCCCTGGGTGCTAGCTCAGGGGCTGGCAGGGAGCAAAAGGCCAGGAGCCCACTGTCCCTGGGAGCTGCCAGGGCAGGGGGACATTGTCCCAGCCCAGGCTCCACCATCAGAGCCCACCCTGGCAGCAGGCTGATCCCTGCCCTCAGAAGCTATCTTCCACCCCCTGCTGCCCAGAAGCAAATTTGCTCCTTGTCGGCCATCTACATGTGCCTTACTATGGAGTAACTAATTGGCAGTTAATTTGCTATCTGCATTTACAGGTAGCAGATTAACTGAGGAGTAGATCAGTTAACTGCACAGTAAGTGTCTGCACGTGTAGACAGTGATGCTTACTGCACAGTAAAGCATCTCGTGTAGATGCGCCCATTGACATCTGAACTGAAACGTGCTCCTTAGTCTTTCGTGATACTTCTAAGGGAAGCAGTAATGAATATATAGTGTACAACTTTTTTTAAATCTGTAAGTCACAAGAATGTAGGCAACCAAATCCAAAATTTAGGTAACTCAAAACCTACGTTCAGCTGCTAGCTAGTCTTAGTGATCTCCAAGTTTTCATAGCTGAAGCTTCATAAGCTCCTAAATGTCTGATTTGGGGTGTACCTGGAACTGCTCAAGGTTAAGTATTTGGAAACGGTATTCCCTGTTCTTGCCTTCAAAGCTATTCTGCTTTGCATAGAATAGTCTCTCTGGCAGACAGACAGACAGACAGATGGCTGGCTGGAGGACACTTACCTGGGAGTTGAGAAATCTGAGCTCTCATCCTTGTTTTATATTTATTGGTGTGTTCCTGTGCATGTTACCACAAAATCCTTGCATAGTTCTAACTTGTAGTCCCCGCTTTGCATTCTCAGTTGCACTGTCTGTATGCTGGTTCAAACACAAACACAAATGAGTTGCATATTATTTTTAACTTAACCCTGTCCTTAACTGTTCATATTACTACTCTTGCAATGTGACAGTGCCTTACAGAAATTGTTTTTGCATAGAATTAAAAAAGGAAATCAATTAGTTAACACTTGCTGAAACATTTAGCAGTTATGTCTTCGTTTTTTATTTGGAATACCTTCAACTTTACATCACAACAACATTACTTTCCAACCTAACCTACGTTAGGTATTTGCAAGGTAACTACCACTGTGCATTTCCTTCAAGTTATATATCAGCTTCTCAAGACTAAACCTGTTTTCCTTCCTCCAGACCTGTACTTCATTTTGATTCTTGGATGGAGATGTCATGGCCTGCAGGCCAGATCTGGCACATGAAACTACTGTATCCAGCCTGCCAGGCTACCAGTGGATCAGTGGAAGTTGAGGGCATGGTTGGGTGGAGCAGAGCCTGGGGCACCTGGGCCCCAGGGTAGACGGAGGTCAACAGCAGGAAGGTGAGCAAAGGCTGATACAACTCTGGTTGCCCTCTGGCTGCTTTGTCCATTGCCATCACTGTGGCCCCAGCTTCTCACCCATTGGCCCCGCTGCCACTGCCATCCAATGCCCCATACCAGATGCAGAGTTGTTGCCACAGTTTGCTTTGTGCCAGACCCAGAGCTTCCAGCCTGGCACAAAACACAGCAGCATCAGGAGAACCAGCATAGGGCATGAGCTTGAGCTGTTGCCACTGTGTGCACTGGGTGGGAGCTAGAGCTGCCTCCCTGTGCCCTGTGCTGGATCTGGTCTGTAAGAAGCCCTGTGGTTTGGATGCAGCCTGTAGCAGGAGGTAAGCCTGACACCTTGGCTCTCTGCTTATCAAGGGAATGGGTTCTCCCTTACTACAAACTCAACCAGTTC